TCTCTCTCTCTCTCTCTCTCTCTCTCTCTCTCTCTCTCTCTCTCTCTCTCTCTCTCTCTCTTCTCATTTGTTCAAGAGTCGTTTAGTAATACAATATGGATGCTGTGCTTTTTCTTAGGTGGTTAGCTGGCGCCTTGTTTTCCACCTGTAATGACTCCATCCATCACCCATCTGCCTTTCAATGAAGTCCCCCCCCCCCGCCCCCAGGGCTTTATTACCTCAACAATGTAGCCCAATATGCAGTTTGAAGTCTTTGTCCCGTCCCCTTCATTCTTTTCCACCAGACACATTTGCATGCTAAGTAGCTTCCTGAAGCAAACAGTTTGCTTTGAACTCTTGAGCCCCATTCATTGTTAATGGTCTACCGTGTGTTAGTTATCCAATATTATTTCTTGGAGGGAAGCGTGCACGTGGTCGATTTCGTACTCTTTGACAAGAAGGCAAAATGCAGTAAATGCAACTGAACGATGCTTTTTAAATTTTTTTTTTTTTTTTTTTTTTTTGGGGATACAACAGCAGAGGTCCCTCACATCCAATTGAAGACAAACGCTTCGCTAATTTCATATGATGACTTGTTTTGGTATAGTGGATGTACAATAAAAGAAAACAAAGTCCATCCAAAAGCCACAGGTTGCTCGTGCATTAGCCGTAGTCCATCAGTTGCAAAGGGCCTACAGGCCAACAATGCGCAACGCTGGCGAAAGTGCTCCCGACGGGAGCGAGCTGCCCGGCCCGTACCGCCGTGTGACCCTTTGCTGCTATCACATCACATCTTGGCTCTTTGTCTCTGCTGTATTAGAGGATTATGCTGACCTCTGCCCTTGCCCCTGGTCAAAGTGGAGCCGGGCGCACCATAAGCCTCTGTTTTGCTGATGCCAGGCCGCGGTGTTTTGGCCGTGCTTTTGGCTGCCTGTCAGCGTCACCTCGATGCTGGTCTCACGTAAGACGGAGATTGCTTCTAGCGGCCATGAAATCCGACTTGATTATATTTGTGCGGTGGGCACGCAGCTTTTGGTCGACTGCCATCTTCTCCTGTGCCCTTGTAATGCTGACGGCATCGTATAATAAGGATGTGTTAACCAATAATTGGATTGTCAAGAATCCAGTCAGTTGTGTGGAATTGGTTGTTGATGAATCCCGTTTTGCAAGCTAATGAGACCAAAGGGGGTGCACTGCTGTTTATTCACTCTTAACTTGTTCTCCACATATGCATAATTTGCTCTTTGAGAATTCACCTATTCACAAATTTTTCTTTTCTGAACTATTCTCGGTTATTTACTGAAAAATTATGTTTTTGTGCTCAGGCCATAGTCCTGTCTAATATAACAGTATTGCTTTGGCGCCATCTTGGGAGATCTTGGTGCCAAGGAATTATGATGAAACAAATTGCCTCTCTTTGTGTAGTTCTTTGCTGCCATCTTGTGGCAATTATATCCGTACAAGAAAAAGTAATCAATTCAGCATCGTACAACCTGTCTAAATTGACTGATCCTTAATTTTCTCTTTATTTCATAAAGATCTTGTCGCAGTATTTTCATGACCGGCACAAATTTGGCGTGTTAAAGCAGGTGTTGGTAATTTCACAGATGTATGCAAGCCGTCAAAAAACAAAACAAACAAAAAAAGGGGCAGTTTGCGCCGTAGTGGGCATTAACACAGCCAACCCCATTCGCCTCCAATCCCAGAAGGATGCTCAGTTATAACTGTACACTGCACATTATTTTAATTGGATTGTTTGTATTTATGACCTGATTACCAATCAATTGCAGGGCACGTACAGACAAACACCATTTACACTCATATTCACACCTACAGATAATTTCGAATTTTGAAACGACCATGTATGGTTTTAAAACATGGGAGGAAGCTAAAGTCCATGTTTTGAACCCTGAACTTCAGAACGTTGAAGCAGACATGCAAACCGCTCATTCGCTGTTCTGCCCGATAAATGAACCCTCATGAAAAAAACAAAAAGAAAGGTATTTCTGCCTCTTTTGCTGCCCCACCCCCTTCCGAGCTCCATTTTCAACCCCATTTGAAAATCTTTGTTTTCACGGGCACTTTTGCAACGTAAGCCTTTCTCCACAAATGAGTGCATCCCAGTTTCCAAAGTGAAAGCTCCCTAATGGACACCTTCTTCATAACGAAGCTCGCCCCGACCGAGACCACTGATCCAAAACCCTTTGTTAGGATGCGCTCCCTCTGTTATTAGAACCCATGAAATTGTGAGCTAAACAAATTCCACACGCCGCTAATGAGTTTCGACGTCTTTCCTTGATGTCCTCGGGGAGGGATGACCCCGCAGCTCGCGAGGCTTTCCGGCAAAGCCGTTCTTGCAAATTTGGTGAAAAACCTCTCAGGAAGAGAAGCTTACTCTCACTCTCAATTATCGCCCACCCATGAGCTCTGCTCTCACCTGACTACATCTTTGTGACATATATACATCTTCATTTTGCTTCTTCCTTTTACATATTTACATGACAATGAAAGGATAAACATGTAACAGAGTTGGCAGCACGTCTGCCAATAATCCTCGCATCACCTTGCATGCAACCTTTCGTTGACCTGTAAATCCTCCAAAACGGTGCCATCACTTTATTCTCACTGTAGCATTTTCTGGAGGATCACAAAAAAAAAAAAAAACACTCCTCTCGAGCCCGCTACATTTTTTTTTTTTACATTTCCGTTATGAAAACACTAAATCGATCCTAGTTCTCGTGAAAATTGATGGAAACTTTTGATGGAAAATTTTAACCTCTTTGTTTTTCAAGACTTAGAAACACTTGTCATGTAACCAGGAAAACAAGCCTCGTCAGCCAAGAGAAAATGAAAGGCTCAATTTACTTTGGGGTTTAATTCTTCGCAACGTGCCCCTCCCATACAATCACAAAGAGCCTCTGCTCATTTCCCATTCCACTCAGAAACAATCGGGAATATCTGCCTTCAATTCCCCCACCGTTCCCGCTTTGTTTTTGTTTTCCGACTTTCTCTATGTCACTTGTTCCGTCTCATTAAGTCATCAGCCAGTGATGAACGTGAAGGCAAACAGAGCGAGCGAGCGAGCGCGCGGGAGAGTTTTGCTAAATTAAGAATAAAAGACAGCCGAAGAGATTCAGGGTGCGTTTGCGATGAGCGCTCTCCTCTGGCATATGCTAGTGGCTAATTTTAGCCTTGCGGGGCAGCGCGCTGTATGTCCCAGCGGAGGAGTTGAACCATGGAGGGATCTGAGCAACAGCCCAGCCCTCCTGTTCTCCCCCCTCCTTATGTCTGTGTGTGTGTACGTGGTCGCTGTCCTTTTGTTGCAGAAAGGTCACGGGACAGTCACAATGGACTGCAGTGGAGAGGATGACCATTCAAAGAGATTTTAAACCACCTGCGTCTGTCGCATTTTTAATGCGGAAGTCCGTGTTGGGCTGTGATTGGACTGTTGGACGTGTCGGTTACGAGCAGCAACGCTTATTGATTATTCACTGACGAAGTGTAGACGGTATGTTCAACTTAAGGTCTGAATTTCCCCAAAGCTCGAGATTTGTAGCCTTCCACGACAGCGAAAAAGCGAAGACAAAGGGAAGATGCGAAGAAAGACGGGAAGCCATGCTAATATCTCCGCTATCAAAATGCATTCATAAAAGATCGAAACAAGTGCTTGAGCGATGGAGTGCTAATGTCACATCAGTCTGGTGTTACAGCGGAGAGTAGCTAACTTTGAATAGCAAAATGTCAAGCAACTTAATAAGTAACTTGGAGAAAACAATACAGAGTCAAACTATTTCATCTCAGCAAAATCCAGGTGTCTGTCAAAAACCGACTAAGACTCTTAAGACATTGGGCAAAATGTTTTATGAGTGGTCTTTCTTTCACAGCCTGATAAACATTATTAGTGCTCAGGATTGATTGCGGCTGGGCCTGTAATTTCTTTTTGCCAGCATTAAGGTTCAATATATTCCAAAACCAGTCACACAGCATTCAGTGTTTTTTGGTCTTATGATGTCATTATTCGGTAAATGAAACATCACAAACATACTGAAGGGAATGTGCCAACTGAACAAATGAGTGGAAGAGCCCACTATAGCTTTTCTAATTCCACATCTGTCAAGTCTTAATATATCACTCGATGCGAATTAATGTTTTCACACCGTTTGGGAGGTGAACGTGAAATCCGCCACTTAACGGACGAACTAGGCCCAATTAGGCGTCATTTCAGCTGTGATTAATTAAAACGGGCGCTTTGAGGGGAAATGTGTAAAAGCATCGAGTTTAAAAATAGATCGCAATTAGACGAAATATTTCACTCGGCAGATCCCGGACTGCGACGGGCTTATTACCCAAGTGCACCAATCGGCTATCATCGCGTCCGCATTTCACGATTACAGTTTTATTATTAGAATTATGGAAGAACTAACCTAGAATTTAAAAAAAATAGCTCTCAATTATGAGATCATTAGGAGATAGCGGGTTGTGGTGCCAGAGTTTGATTTGGTTCTTGAGGATATCGGATGTACAGTACCATAGGATATGGCAGCGTTTGGCACTAATGCGAGCTGGACAAATTTTCAAGTCGCGACGAAAATGGACCAAACAGCTTTTCATCGCAGAAACAACCTGACAGAAACAGAATAACGCAAGGAGAAAAAACATGCAACGCACATGCGACTGGATAAAGCACATCGATGAGATATAAGGGCCTGGGTTAGCCTTGTGTCGCTAGCTTTGACTAGCCCGATCGCCACTAGCTAGCGAACAGATTCCTACCATTGGCAATGCAACCACGGAATGGAGCAACAATGGGGCCATTGTTGGCCAAATCATAATCCTAAAAATATCTTAGCACGCATCCATGGACATCGATCATCGATATTTCCAGGGGTGAGCGCGTCAGTAAAATTTACGCTTCGTCACCACTATTTTAAGAGCGCCAGTAACAAACTGTCATTCTGTTGCGAAGAAGCCTAACCGACGTTTCTGTTTTTTTTTTTTTTCTCCGTCTCTCTGTGCTGCAGATCTTCCATATGACCTATGACCTGGCGAGCGCCGTGGTAAGAATATTTAACTTGATAGGCATGATGCTGCTGCTGTGCCACTGGGACGGCTGCCTCCAGTACCTGGTGCCTCTGCTCCAAGACTTTCCCCCTGACTGCTGGGTGTCACTAAACGGTATGGTTGTAAGTATCACGCTTTTACTCTTTTCTGTCGCGTTGTGGCCGCCGTGGGTGTGTTTTGCGTGTGATTGATGCAAGACTTAAGTGATCGATATTTTCATCTTGGTTTGGGTGTCGGCGTTAACCAAGAAAGTAAACAAAGGAAAGGACATTTTTTGTGGATGAATTTGCCGTAATGGTTGTTACTTGAGCAAGATTTAATGATCGTTTTACTTAAAGTGACATGGTCCATTGGGGATGTTAGTTTATTGTTTTCCCCTTCCGCTTTCCGCCTCCTCAGCAGGGCCGGAACGAGTGCCGCGCTCACACGGAGCGCCTCGTAGGCGATGCAGATCGTAAACGCTCGCCTCGGGCCATCCCCTGCCTCCTCGTCTAGCGTCTTCCTCCGACAAATGCCCCACATGCAAAGCGACTGTCGCGAGGCATCCGGGCTTGAGGTGCAAACGTCAACTTCCCTCAGTGTCGCGTCTCTTTACTTTTCGCGTCAACCCGAGCTTGCTGTGCGTGAGTCACTCAAAGGCCAAACGCGAGAATGGTTTTCTCCAACGGCTGCCGCCGTTCATCCCGATTACAGGCTACTGTAAAGTATGCAAACGGCATCGTTCCACTCGGCGCACATTATTAAACGACGGCAAAGTCATCCGAAAAGCCTCACGGACCGCCGAAATTTGCACTGCACGCTCTCGCTCTGCATAAATCTCACTTATTACCCTGCTGCAGATCGATATGGAGTCATGTAAAAGACTTAATTAGCTGCACCCCCCGCGAGGCTTCATTTGCATCGAGCACTTTTGCCACGATGGGAGGTTTCCCCAACAAGAGCTAATGTCGCAAGTTAAAACAGCTTTTGGTCCCCTTTCAGGCAGGGGAGTGAGCACGAGAGCATTTCAACTAGTAAACCCCCCCCCACCCCCGCCCCCCCCC